ACTAGTGAATAGTATGGGTCCCTGGCAGACCTTTGAAAAAAAAAAGTCTGCAAGTCTTATCTAATTGGGAACCCTAGTGAATAAATTACAATGTACATTTAAAAGTTCCAGCAATGCAGTGCTTAGCTGCTGCGCGCATGCACACATATCTGAGATAAAAAAGTAGCACATAAGGGAGATTGGGAACTGTCACAAAGCAGTGCTGACCAACCCTGTTTTAATACGTTTCACACAAAGTAAAACAAGGAGAATTAAATAATTGTTATGTTAGTTTAGTATTACACAACATTAAAACAATAACAAACAAACATTACATCAGTGTAACTTTCAAAGCAAAGAAAAAACATCACAGGACTTTAACTGTACTTTTTTTTTTCCTTCTTTGCTTTAGTATACAAGTTCAACACAAGAAAACAACAATGTAAACATGAGAGGTAGTCAGCATGTAAGTTACAAATTAAAACTCCCCGGAGCCCTGTTATAGGGTAAACAAGAATAGACCCACTGCCTTCCCAAAAGAATGTCGTAGGAGTTGACTTACTGGGAGCTTACTTTAAAATCGGAGTGCATCCGCCTGAGAGGCAAGGAACCAGCAGTCTGCATACAAATGAGTCAGATCTGTAAAATGGATGCACACACAACACCCAGGTTCTGGAACAGGACAGTCCAAAAGTGGATGAACAACCAGAACTTTCCGCCAGAGTTTACAGCTGGTGAACACGAAAAAGAAGAAAACAAATTAAAACTGAAATGCAGAACCGCATGGAGAGAGCATGTCCCAAGCACATGTTCAGTATCTTGTAGTGTCTGTCCTTTATCTTGTAGTGTCTGTCCTTTATCTTGAAGTGTCTGTCCTTTATCCTGTAGTGTCTGTCCTATATCTTGTAGTGTCTGCCCTTTATCTTGTAGTGTCTGTCCTTTATCTTGTAGTGTCTGTCCCTTATCTTGTAGTGTCGTGTCTGTCCTTTACTTTGTAGTGTCTGTCCTTTGTCTTGTAGTGTCTGTCGATTATCTTGTAGTGTCTGTTAAATATAGACTTAAGTTCTGAGCTCCCAATCTTGAATTTATTGTACATGTGGTTGTGAAGTCTGTTGGTCCAGTAATCTAAATCTTAATTTCTTTTAAAAATAGTCTATTGCTTTTGAGTGAGGTCTTTTTGTAGGTCTTCAGGCCTGTGTTCTGAACAGGAAGTGTTCCCATGGGTCCTAATAGTTGCGTTGATCTAGGCTTCTTCTTTTTCTTTACATTCGCACTAGTGACTTAACTGAGTCGTGTCTGTTTACAGCAAAGCTGAGAAATATGCGCCTTCCGCCGTCACACCTGACTTCATCAAGCATTTGTTGACCTGCTTGATTGCCCAGATAGTTTTGAGGGACATAGTGTAGCCTTATTTGTTTGGTGTTCTCTTTGTCCCCTTATCTACAATTGTTGCCTTTGGAGAACCTATCCAGGGCAACTGCGTGTAGTTTGGTCGACACCTCATGGGAAGGCAGGCGCAAATCAATGGCATTCCACACCATCTAAGAAGGCTTCCATAAATGCACAGCCGATACATGACACTCTGGTCCTGCACATGGCTGCTTAACCTCACATCCGTATGTTGAGCTTCCCACTCGTCACGGGCTCCGCCCTCCAAAGTTTAGCAGGGAGCAGTTCGGTAACAGACATCTGAACTTTCTGTCAATCAGAAGGACTTGATAGCTAGACAAGACTTTGCATTTTACCATTGGACCTGTATCTGACGGACAATTGTGCCTAAACAGCTGACTGACATAAACAGATTGTCATGGCATAACTCAGCACAGTGTCAACGATGTTGAGAGTCGACAAAGGATGTACGGAGACAGAAGTGTACCACAAGATACCGCCAGCAGGAGATGTTGCTGGTCTAAGCTGTGAGCAAATCTCGTGGTCTAGGGTTGAGAGTCTGTAGTTCAGTAGTTCTTTCTCTTGAATGATGTTTTAACTAAAAATTGACAATTGATAGTGTCTTCGGCTAGCAGGCTTTAATCATTTTTCAAATGAGTTCTGATAGACATTGTCACTCGTGCATTGGGGTTGGGCTGATGAGAGCCAGACAGGAAACTTCATCTCCACAAGCTCCGAGATCCCTTGCCAGCTCAGTTCAGGTCACAAAGTTGACCCTTTATCTGTAGCACACAACAAGGATGTGTGGCAGGAGTCTTGCATGAGGATCCGTAAAACCAACACCGAGCCTGCTGGCACCCGAGGTGAGGTACAGAGTATCTAACAATGGCTTAAACTTTCTATCACGCCTGTGACGAAAATCACTGCGCCACTTATGTGTGTTTTATTTTCTTCAGTATTGCTCTAGTCAACAGATCTTGACATTAGCAACAATTAGCAGATGCTAACTAAGGTATTTATAAAGCTATCTGATGATGTCACTAAATGACACTTGTAGTTTCCTTAAAACAAGTTTGTAACTTACCTGGTGACTTTCCACTCACACTGAAAGAGCACATTCAACATTTGAAATGAGAAAACAAGGTGAACGCTGTGTGTTAACTATTGCAGCCATGAATGACAGACACACATGTGAGTAACAATACACTGTCACCATTAACACTCATTAAAAACATTAACTTAATGATCTCCTAAATTACACAAATGTGTTCAGCTAGGAGAAAGAGAACTCAAAAGACAAAATGTGATTACTTGTGGCTGAATATTTTCCTGTATTTCCTCAAGGCTTTGAGTCAAAGGATGAGTGCCAAAACACTGCTGGATACATAATGACAAGGACATTGTGTAAAAAGGAACAGATTCCACTTTCATGCACTGAGAAATATTAGACACATGGTGCAAGCCCATTATTTTGAGCACTTCTTTATTTTAGTGCTCACCAGCTGTAAACTCTGGTTGCCTGTCCACCTCTGGACTATGATCTTGCTCTAGATCGTGAGTTTTGGGCGCACACATATTTTACAGATCTGGCTTATTACAGATCCAGTATGCAGACCGTTGGTTTCCTGCCACTCGGGCAGATGCACTCTGACTTCAAATGTAACACCCATAATTAGTCGCCTCTTATGACATGCTTATTGGGAAAGGGGGAGGGGGATGGCCACCCACCATAATGGCGCCCCTGAATCTGCACACATGGGTGATTTTGTCAATATCATGCCGACTGCTTTACTTCCCAGAAAATTATGTGGTACCCCCTTCTGAGATGCTTTGACCTTGGAGTTCAGGTCAATGACACACACACAAACTTTACTGATAGGGATTCAAACATATGACCAGGCAAGCATGTAAGTCCCAAACCTGAGTACAATAGAACAAAGTATCAGTCATGGAAAATACTGTAAAAACACAGAAACCATTTCTGAAAAATATCAAACCTCATATATTGTAAATAGTTTTTTTAATATATATAATTATTGCTCAGCTATGTCAAATCTGACAGGACTGAAAGGACACTTTGTTGTACTCCACCCTCTTTTTAAAAATGCAAAATTATGTTTTGCTGCACACATTCACAATGCTATTGTCCTATCTACTTATTTATTGTCTGTGAGGTCTATAACTAACTTGCTATCATAAGTCTTGGCACCCCAGTCTGAATGCTGCCATGGAATTCCAGGATTTGCACAGAAATGCTCTTTTTCTTATTTTGTCTTGCTAAAAAGTTTAAATATTGGTAACTATAATGACGAATATGTAGTTTATTCTTTTTCACATTTCCTGGCCAAAAATGTCTGTGGAAAGTTCTGGTGGCTCATCCACTTTTAGACTTTAGTCGTGTTCTAGAAGTCCTGCATGCACATCTGTTTTACAGATCTGGCTTATTTGTATGCAGACTATTGGTGTCTTGCCTCTCAGGCAGACACACTCCAACTTTAAAGGAAACACCCCTAATCAGTAGACGTGCTTGAAAAGGGGGCAATGGGTCTATTATTCCCCCCCCCCCCCCCACAATAAGGCCCTGGAACCCACACAGGAAAATATGTATTTTAATTATATCCTTCTTCAAGTAGTCAAGGATCCTTTTCCCCCACCATGAAGCTGTTTTTATAGACCTATCAAAGCTCAATGGAAGAGGCAGTCAGGACATGCTAGCCGTTTGTGCCTCATAGGTCGACCAGAACAAATCAAATGGTCTGGCCATGTGACAAGATTAGCATCAGACAGGGTACCACAGACAGCAATGTTATACAGATACAGCGGTAACAGAGCCAGATCGACCATGCGGAAGACGGACCAAAGAAATATCAGAGAAACCTTTTTTGAAGCGAAGAGAAGGGCCCTTTCCAGAGATGTCTTCCTACCCTGACCCTGAAGAAGAAGACATGGATGTGAGGCAGACGTCTTACATGAGATTCCTTCAAAAGAGCACAGAGCATGCTGGCACCTGAGATGAGATACAGGGCATAACCCTATATACAGTATACTGGCTTTAACTTTCTCTAATGCTGTGACTGAAATAATCCCACCACTTTATACGTTATGAATTGGAATCTTTTTGCCAAGCAGCTGTCCCACAGAGCACTGTTCAAAGCCTGAACTCTGTAGTTTCAATAAAGCTTCCTAATGACTTCCAAAATGTCTGCATCCAAGACCGAAGACCAGGACCTGAAACTGAATCAACAACCTTCAAAACACTGGGTAAATGGCTTAACTATTTCACCATGGAGACCTATGTTAAAATCTTCAAGAAGGTTCTTTCATTACAGATGAGTGAATTACATATGGCGTTAAACAATTTGGGAATCACAGTGGCGTAGAGGCTAGACCCTTTCCTGCAGATCTGAAGGTCGTTGATGCAGCCAGGCTTTAATTTTTTTTTAAATAACATTGGCTCCCAGGTCAATCGAGCCCTAAATCGCTAACAGGCTAAATCCTGGAAAGAAAAGGGTCAGCGTGATGTTACCCACATCAGACCATTTAGTGCCTATCAGTTTACAATATATAGGTCTAGCCCTATATGCCCAAAACGCCTGAAGGTGTGAAAAATGGTCCTTTACTTTTTACACAATTTACAGTGTAGGCAATTCACCAGTAAAGTAATATAAAGTACCATCCTGGGTCCCTTGAATGTAAGCTTGCTGTAGAGTCTGTCCTGGTTGTTCTGCTGGTTCGTCTGAAGTAGATGTTGCAATCATGTCTTGAACTAAACAATCTGATATTGTTCCCTCCACAATGAGCGGAGCTGATTCACTGACTGCAAGACATTCAGACTGATCTACTGTGCTCGGCTGGGTAGAATCATTCTCGTCTGCTGCCTCTTTATCTGCCATAGCATTCTCTCTTTCAATAACTAAGACAGCAGCCTCTGTGACAGAATCCGACTGGGGGGAAAGGAGAATTTATTACAAATAAATCAAGGAAATAGCTAGCTTAAAAATTATAAAAACTGTTATGAAATATAATGTAAAACAAAACCCACAATTACTTATCTTACTTTTCTTTTTTCTATTAGTTCTCAGAATTTTGTGGAAAAAAATAAACCTGAAATCAGTTTGTTTTAAAATGCCATATACATTGTTAATGGCTTCTGACAAATACAGAACCATGCAACAATAACAGGGTGCAATACAGATCAAACTACTTGAATCAAAGTAATAATTACACTTTGTAATATTTATACATGTTTTGCAAAGTGTTATAATAAATGTGATATCTGTGTGCCTTAACTGAACTTTCTCTACCACAGGACTAAATGTAACACAATTTCATAATTATTTTTGTTAAAACATTTTTAACTGTTGTAGAGAGAAAATAATCAGGAGTTGAGTTGATTCAAAAACCAACATCACAGCATTTAGGGCATTCCCATAAGCACTCCTTTCCCATCTCCAGCAGCCTGTGTAGGGTTCTAATACCAATGGTGCCAGCAGCATTCTGATTATATGTCAGTCTTGCCTTTCCTCTAAGTGTCAAGTATCGGCCAGATCCCCTCGTCACTCCCCGCTGCATCACGTCTGCCTTATCATGCATCAATATTCCACCAAGTTGTGCAGAGCCAGTCTGTCCACCTAGTCATTCCCCAACACACCGGCCAATCCAGAGAAAAGATCCAGAAAATGCTCCTCACCGGTGACCTCTAAAGCGAAGAATACCATTCTGCATGAAGCATGCCATCTGAGTCAGTTACAATCACGATATGTGTTGTATTCTCTAACCAGCAGAAATCCTAAATAAAGAAGAATTCATGTTAATAAGGTTTTACTATACAGAGCAATATAGCAAAAAGGAAAAGAAAAAAACCCACTTTTGCATGAGTATTCTCATGCCTCTGCAAGGCATTTTTGGTATTGAACAGCCGGCAGCAGACGCTGCAGACATGGGCCCGAGGTCTGATGTGTAATGTCATGATATGCTTCTTCTGTACCGGCTGTGTTTTAAATGCAGCTCCACAATACTGGCACAAAAATGGTCTCTCTGTACTGTGCATGGACATGTGCTCCTTTAAATGAGCCTGTTGGTTTGGGGGAAAAAATGTTTTAATTATTGCAACCACAACAAACTTTATCCTTGTCTGTTGGACTCACAATGGAGTACAGGCTCTCAAAAAACTCACATCAAACCCTTTGCTTGTTGTACCCCACCAGGACATCCCACAAGCGATAAACACCCGGTGACACAAAGTGCCACCATGCAGATGGGGATCACCCATGGAGAGGTCCCAGAAACCCCTTTCAGCCGTTATGGCAACATTTGTGGCCCAGCCATATTCAGGGCCCCCGGCAAAAGCCAGGGTGGGGCTTCATATAAGGAAAAATTGCATCCCACAAGGTGACCGAGTTAGGACACCAAACCCTTTATAGACCAGCTGTATTTGTACATGGTGAGCGGGGATCTGAGCGTCTATAGACATGATCGTACCACCTAGCAATAACTCATAACTCCCCCCCCCCCCCCCCCCCCCACCCAGCAGAACGGCCAAGAGCTGCCAGGTAGTGCTGGTCAACCCTCAAGAAAAGGCAGGAACATGAGGATTCTTCATCATCAAAGAGGACTTCCATAAATATAGAGATGATACATAGTTCTCTGCTACTGGGCTCACCAAAGAAATTGCCACATTCTGCCACTGACCGCTCAACCTCACTTGCATATACAGAGCTTCTCACTTCTTACAGGATGCCCCTATAGAAGCCAGCAGGAAGTGGTCTGAAGATTTGGGACTTCAATGACCTGCATAAACATGTGCTTCTGTGAGACAATTTTATGAACAATTTTTAAGAATCATTAAAAAAAACATACCAGTAAAATTCACTATTAAATTAAACATAAATTTCTTGAACTCTTAAGCCCTGGCAGAGCAAATCCTAATTTGAACAATGAAGATTTAGAAAAACAAAAAAACAGAGATGCCCAATTTACTGCCTGGCATATTTTGCTGTATCTTTTTAGGTGCAAACTCAAAAATAAATCAACATAACAGGAAGGCAAACAATAAATTGTTATCGCTTCAATAAACAATACACACAGTCACATGTTAATATAATAATCTGCTTATCACTGTTTGCCTTCTGGTCACATATTCACAATGAACTTCACTAAGCATTACGAATCTTTGAGGTTCACTGCTGAAGATATCACCCACCTCCATTCATCTTTGTGATTGGCTTTCTCTTTCCAGTTGGTGATTGTTTGAAGGTCTGCCTGTATGTTATTGCCCCACCATCTTCTTGATCTGGCTTGTGGTATACTCCCATCAAACTTTTTTGTGTATAAAGTTCTTGTATCTCTATTATCTGCCACTCTCTAAATATCCCAACAATCACGGTCTATGTGCCCTTATGTTATCCTTCTTCTAGCATTACAAGCCCTTGAGGTTCATTGCTGCAGATATCGCCGCCTCAATTTATTTCTCTGGCTGGCCTTCTCTTTCCAGTTGGTAACACCAAGTGTTTGCAGGTCTTTCTGGACATTATCTCTCCGTCGTCTTCTTGGTCTGCCTTGTGGTCAATGACCATTCAGCTTTCTTGTGTATACAGTTTTTACCTCTCTGTCATCTGACATTCTCTCAATATGTTATATGATGCCAGTAATTTGTTGTGATTTAAACAGATATACATGAATTGTGTCGTTGCCTCTCAGGTAATAATCACCCTAGGCAGATACTTCAGAGAAGGAGCCACACAACTGCTCATGATGAAATAAGAGCTCTTATCCATGAGCAAGCTTGGCTAGGTGACACCATCATCTAGAAAGATGGCTCATAATAGGTTACAGCATCCAGAAGTCTCTACTCAAGAAACTATATCATCTGTACCAAACTAGAATGGGTTACAGCATCCAAAAGTCTCCACTTAAGAAACTATCTCATCTGTACCAAACTAGAATGGGTTACAGCATCCAGAAGTCTCCACTCAAGAAACTATCTCATCTGTACCAAACTAGAATGGGTTACAGCATCCAGAAGTCTCCACTCAAACTATCTCATCTGCACACACTAGGACATGCCAGGGTGAAAGAAAATGAAACAGCTAACAGACTGGAAATGAAAGAGCTGACAGACTGACCATGTCTGCAATAGTAAGTGGAGGAAGAAGTATGGATACAGCAGACACACTGAATGAAAATAAAAGAGTGAGAGACAATGAACCCCCTGCTGGAATGGGTATTAAACAAGGACAACATGCAGAAACCTGTCACAGCCCAAAGAAAGAAAATATGCCAGTCAACTCTTACTGGCTAAGCTGAGCATGGAGACACTGCAATGGTGGCTGCATCAGAGGATGTAGCATGAACTGGTCAGACTGATGTGCTCGGATGCTGATACAGACAACAAGTAACAAGATTTTGTTTCTCCATCTCCATTCTCTGATGTTATCATCTTTGATGGAAGGCCTTAAAAATTGACAGTTATTAATATTCATGATAATAAACTGGATGACAAACCTAATCAAATAAGTTAGACAAGTCGACCCAAAGGTGGCATACCACGATTCTGCTGTAAACACACACAATACAGCTATGTAAAAAAAATATTTTTTGATGAGTTAAGAAGAAAAGCACACCAACTCACAGCTGATCTGAATCCCTTGTCACATATACAGCATTTGAAAGGAAAACTGCGTGCAGTGCGCGACATGTGAACTAATTTGTGCTGCTGAAGTGAATCTGTTCTTTTGAAAGCTTTCCCACAAGTATCACAAAGATGTGGTCGTACTTCAGGGCCATGTACATCACGGACATGTCGCTGCAGGTGCATCCGACTGCCGAAAGGTTTCTTACAATCTGGGCAGGTGAGGTTATCCTCATCTGATACTTGGTTTAGTCTGAAAAATAAACATCACTGGATTTATTTATATGACTGTTATGAAGGTGAAATAATATTTCTAACACTTTTGATAATCTCTGGAATTAGTAGTAAAAGAGGCCATTTTAAATACATCATGTATTTCATCTTCTTTCTAAGGATGCAAACCTTAAGGTGGCAACTGGCATGCTGTATGTGGTATACAGCTAGGCGACAATATCAGCCTCTTTTGGTCCAATACATCCAACTTTAGCAAAACCCTATTATTGATGACATGTTTTTTAGGCGGCAGTGGCTCCATTCACCACCCCCGCCCCCTCAACAGAGTCACAAAACCCAACATAGGAAAACCATGTACTCACAAAATGACATTTTATCCACACAAAAAGAACTCTTCCTCAACTGTTGGAAGTAGATGGGAGTACATTTTAACTGCCTCAGGTTTTACAGCTTTTTATGTTTGTAAATGCTCTGGATGACTGCGTGTGAACTCTTAAGTCTGATATATTGTCATACAGGAGACTTCAGCTTTGAGAGGCTTGTGTCTATATGAATGAAGTTGAGTCTACAAATGTTCCTCCCAAACTGATACCAAACTTCCATTTCCCTAACAACTTTATTGCAAAGCTCTCTCCAAGCCAAAACCTTAGTGGGGATGTGCAAGTAAGGTACTAGAACTCCCCACGTGTAATAATTCATCAAAAGATTAACCAAGTTATGATTTTGCTTGCCCTATTGTGAAGGATCATTAATATAAAAATTAATAACACAAATCAATCATACCTATCATGCACAGTTTTGTGCCTCTCCAGCTCCTCAGATGTACGACAACTGAATCTACATCGATCACAGCTAAGTTTTCCTTCCAGAGATTCCTTCTTTTCTACACTATGCTTCATTCGAAAATGTCTGCGCAGAAGTTCTTGTCGGTCTGTTGTATAAGCTGCACAAATGCTACATCTGGACAAAAGTCAAATTAATAACTCAAGTGTGCTATATGTAACTCTTTATGCAAGAAAGATATGTCCTTGTCATTTGATCTTACTAAAATAGTAAGTAAGTTCATTGTTGATCCCTTCCCATGTTAACATAGGTTTTATTTTTCAGTCTTATTATCCAAACCATTCTCTTCATGACACCTATTTATATGCTCTACTAAATCTGGTAATTCCTGCTTAATTTCTGCCAGCAAAGGCATCAATAAGGGGTACCAAAATAATAATACAGGGTCTCCTTGACTTATGACCTAGTTCCATTCCAACTAACAAGTCATAAGTTACGCTGATATTTTTCAACACTATTTTCAATCAAGAATTTTAGAAAGTGTATACAAAACACAAAAGACTGATGTCCCGGCCTTGCTGTGCTCTAGGCATTAGTTTCGGGGAACTTTTTGACCCTACCAATGTAGTTGTCTTTCTCTATTTATAATTTTTATTTATTTATTGTGGTTGTAAGTGCAGGTGGTTGTAAGTGCAGGTGGTCCTACTTTGCTTAGGTCGCAAGTCAAAAAGAAGGTGTATATAATATAATAATAAGCCCTTCATCTTCATAAATTACATATCTCATTACATATTTCATCCATCAATCATTCAATCAATCAATCAATCAGGTACCATCTACACATCATAGGCTGGCAGCAATCGACCTCCATCATTTTTTGCCCTGGATGCACAATTTCTCAAACTTCTGTTCATCGATATCTTCCCCTTGTATAGCTGCCTGCACAGACATTAACATCTGTCCCGAGAATTTAGTTTTTGGCATTCTTGATTAGTCCTTTGTTGATATTCCTAGAGGGGGCTGCGTGGTCTTGAGGTATGGTGTCCACCTTGAGTGCTGAAGGTTCCGGGTTCAATCCCCGGTAAGGGCTGAGATTTTTTCATGTGGACTTGGACTTCCAATAATTCCTCCTGGTCTCTGGGTAGTGAGGTCGGACGTCCGTGCGCATTGTTGCGCAGTAAAAAATCCCTTTGCAGTTGGAAATCGAAAAGAGTTGCCTAACAGCGCTGCAAGGGCAAAATTTGGAATTTAAAATCTACTAAAAGTATTTCAGGATCCTCACCGGTGCTACAGAGCCTGTGCACTGTGCTGAGCTTCTTCGGACTCAGACTTGAGTTAGGAGAAGAACGGAGCACTTATGGGTTACACCCGTGTGCCATGATGTTGATCCCTTGTTCAAAACCTCAAACCTGATTTTCCTGCATGCTATCATCTTATCACAGACATCAGAAGGAGATAGTCATCATTTTTCGGCCATGTTATGAGAAGAGGGAAAATAGAACATGTTGTGACCACTGGAAAGATATGTGGAAGGAGAGATGGAGGAAGACAACGAGAGAAGATGCTTGACAGTCTTGTTGCATGGCATAGAGGTGTGTAGGCACACGACCTGATACATGCTGCAGGAGATCGAGGATTATGGAGAGGTATGATCGCCCATGCCAGTCGGCAAGGCACCTGATGATGATGATCATTTTATATCATACATTATTTCTCACGGACTGCCTCTTCTACATATTTACTTCTAATCCTAAATCATTTTTACACTTACTTGAACAAGGATTTGCTGTGTCTTAGTTCATGCCTCTTCAACATCGGAATGCTGATAGTGACAAAATCACACTGCTTACAAGTGTATTTCTTTTCAGTGCCATCTTTGTGGCAGCGCATGTGAGAGATGAAATGGCTGTGTCTTTTTGTCTTGAAGGAACACTGGTGGCAGAAGAATTTGAAAGACACCTGTTCTTCATAGTTCCGCTGCTGTTTAGTAGCTGCAGATTCTGTTAGTGGATTTCGTGCATGTACTTTTTCTCTCATAGATAGGTGGTTGTCTGAAGAACAAAGAAAAACACTTAAAAAGTGGCGAAGTCGTCAAGCCATTTGATTCGCGCTATGAAGGCTGAGGTTTTGTTTCACAACGGCACCTCTCAGTACACGAGTGCAGTTTTTACGTTGATCCCTGGGGACTATCACCGGAGCTACAGAGTTTGTGCTTTGTGGGCTGATCTCAGCTTATGGCTAGCCATTCTGCAGAGAGAGATGAGCCATACGGGATAAAAATCAATGCAATGAAGTCAATCCTCTCAACTTCAACTTAAGAAGAATTTATGAACACAGCTTGTTTGCTTAATATCTCATTTGATTTTGAATTGGAAGGAGAGGGAGAAACAGAAAGGCATAGATAGGGTGAGGGGAGACTCACACAAAGAGATCTAAAAGCTTCAAAACCATGTCCTTCTTCTTGCCGGAATTCTGTAAACTCTGCCAGAAAGTTCTGGTTTTTATCCCATTGTGGACTTTGATCTTGAGTTTTGCGTGCACTTCCATTTTACAGATCTTGCTTATTTGTAAGCAGATTTTTGGTTCCTTGCCTCTTAGCCAGATGTGCTTTCGATGTCAAAAAGGTTACACCCCTAATTAGTCACCTCTTACCACATGCTTGATGGTGAAAAAGGTCAGGAAGGGGTGGGGGGGGGTGTGAGGGTGGTGCATGAAGGCCCAAAACCGGACCCCAGAACCATGTGGGGTCTCCCCACCATTTAATTAGTAGCCTTCTATGTGATATCAAAAAAGAAGTATGAGTGCAGTCAAGCTACTACCAAGAAGTAACTCAGCCAATCACAAACTAGGATCAGCAAAGAGTAATGAATGAGCAGACCAAACTGGCAAGTACTGCACCACTGTATGCAGGAACAGGCAATATCATCAATGTTATAAGAAACAGTCTGGCAGATAATGACAAATCTCTGATGCTAACACAATTAAATGACTTCACAGTGATGCAAATCAGTGCCTGCTTCGGAATCAAGCGAGGAGACACAGTAACCACCAATTTCTGCCGGTGTGGGTTCAGGCTCCCATCTGGGGTGGGGGGGGGGGGGGGGGGGGGAGAATAGACTCACACCTCCAAAACATACAAGTAATCTGTAACTCCCCAACAATTTCTAGAAAATTCAGAAAAAACTGTCTAGTAAACATGTTCATGTTTCAGAAAAGATTTCTGCCTCTGCTGGGGGTTTAACTTAGACCACTGCTGCGGCAGACAAGCTCACTAACCATCATGTCACCACGGCTGCAGGTTAGAATATAAGTATTTACACATTTTTATAAATATATTTAACATGCTGTTGCTACTTGTTTTCTTTATTTTAAAAATCACGATTTCCAAGAAAAGAATAGTGCCTCAATGTATAATAAAAGTCAAAAGACGTTATTTTGGGACAAGTTCAGAAACAAGTATCTAGGCACATGGATAACATCCGATGGAAGATGTATCACAGAGATAAAGAACAGAATAAGACATGCCAAAACTGCATTTTATCAAATGAAGAACATTTTATGCAATAAATCCATGTCATAGGAGGTTAGAAAAATAATTCTTGCATGCTTTACAGAGCCAGTTTTAACATACGGCTGTGAAGCAGGACAATTAATAAACAAGCCAAACAATATCTTTGGATCTCGGAGATGTTGTTTTACTGAAGAATCCTTACAATTCCTTGGACAGCTAAGAAGAGCAACCCAGATGTTGTGAAAAAGGCGAGTGCTCGAAGACAATTTATCACAAACATCAGAAAGAGACAGTCATCGTTCTTAGGTCATGTTATGAGAAGAGGGAAAATGGAACACGTTGTGACCACTGGAAAGATCTGTGGAAAGAGAGACAGAGGAAAACAGCTCGAGAAGATTCTTGACAGCCTTTTGTCAGGGCATGGAGGTGTGTCAACACACAAACTGATACATGCAGCTGCGGATTGAAGATTGCGGAGAGGCATGATCGCGCCATGCCAGTTGGTAAGGCACTTGATGATGATAATAAATTTATTGAGAAATGACAGGCTGAGCAGTTACCAATGCTGGCTCCCATTTGGGAGACCAAGGTCCTCAGTAAGGTCATGGCATTTTCTCTCTCGGGGACAAAAAACAGAATCCTAACCTGCACAGCCCATGGTGACGGCACTCGCCATGTGGCCTTAAATACTCCGGCTTAACATCTCCCTAAAGTGTGGTACATTCAGGCAGCAAAGATAGTACACCCTTATTATTAGTGAAAGATTCAATCATATTAATAGAGAACTGCTGTTTATCTTCTTTGTTTTCAGTTTTGTGTGCTTAGGTCACACTGTCAGGGGGGCTATCAATGAACGTGCATGCACTGAGTGTCCCAATTTGGGAAAATGATTCTCCTAAATTATGTATTCTAGATTAGAAGAGCATCCGTTTTACTTGTTTTACGAGGCCTTCCTCGTCGTCTGGGTTTCCCCTCTATCAATGTATTGGATCTCAGTGTATTCTCTTGAGACATTTCAACACCTTCTGTGGAAGGAAAAAACACAATGTATTTAAAAAAAAATGTGTTTTAGAAATCATGTGACTGTATGTTACTTTTGTATAATAAAAAGGCAATCCAATACTAAATATAGCTTTTAACATTCTGCTCCATTTAAAGAATGCGGACATAAACAATAAAACTGCACAATTTATTAATCATATTGCTAATGTCAATCTTAACCTCTGTAGTGATCATGTGGTTAATCTGAGATTTTTGTTGGTGAGATGTACAGTGTAACATGAGACAGTGTGATTTGCGTATTTCAGTGCATTTATGTTTTGTGCTTCAATATATGTTAATGCAAATTGTGTTTCACTATCTCATATGATCACCAGAATCATGGATCAGTTCGATGTTTTTGTCTTGCCCCATCCATTTGGCCAGGTCATGCAGATATTTATTTCTTTGCCTACTTCTTGCTTTCTTTACATCAATCTTGTGAGTTGTTACCAAGTTTTCATGTAAATTCCTTCTAACATGTCCAAAAAACATTGTCTACGTCTAATTATTCTAATAAGTACATGACTTTCATCTGTCTCACTAAGAACTGCTTTGTTTGTTCCACTATCCTTTCATATCCTTTGCAACCTTCTCGGAAGACACATCTCTGCCACGAGTATATGTTTTTAGCTTGTTTGTTTTTTGTCCATGTTTCACATGCATGTAACAACACAGGTTCTTTCTACACTTCAACTATCTCTTTTCTCACTGTAACTGATATCTTTGGTGAGAATCTTTTGCACTTTGCTAAAGGCTGCTATTGTCAGGGTGATTCTTGTTCTAAATTCTTCAAGAAATTTTGCATCAGATATTATGACTGTTCCAAGATAGTTATATTGACTGTCTTGCTTAAGAATTTTATCGTTTGCATGTTTTTCACAATTCTGTATTTTCTTCTTGGTGATAATTTTTATTTTCTTACAAGTTCATTCTACAAAATATATACCAGGCAATAAATTTTGAACTGCTCTGTAAAATTTTATTAATGTTATTGGATTTCCTTGATTGCTTTTTAACAGTTTAGGATTCAAAGCCATATGTTACAATAAATGTGACAAAACTTCTTGTTCCCTGTGAGTGAGTGACATTCAACCCCACCAGGACATCACATTGAGCGATAAACATCCGGTGACACAAAGTGCCACCATTTGGTTGAGGATCATCCAGGGAGAGGTCTAAGAAACCCCGTTCAACCCATAGATAGGGTTATATTAGGGCCCCCAGCAACAGACAGGGTGGGACTTGAAAACAACAACAAAATTGCGTCTGACAGTGGGACGCACTGTAACCAGTAAAAATATGCTAATGTTTCCCACATCTGATGTGTATGGACAAAATAAAATTTGGTTTAAAATATTTGAATTAACTATACTTCATACCAATGAAAGCATCTGAACAAACACGCAAACAGGTGGGTTAAAAAAAATGCAAAATAAACAAGTTCTGAAAGACAGAACAAAGAAGACTTCTTAACATTCTCAACCACAAAACTGACACTTCTGGTTGGGTTAAATTTCCTGTAAATGTCACTTAACCGACATTCTAGAGTGTTTAAGAGATGCATAGTTAATGCTACTGCAGACAGTGACGAAGAAGAAAAAGAAAATTCATACCTGAGCAAATGTCATTACTACTATGGAGTCCACCCTCTTCACTTGCATGAGAAACAGCAGCCATTTCTTCTGGTGGTGCTCCATCCTGACAAAGATCTATGAAACTTGTTGCTTGCAGTTGCCTGTTGCTGATAATCTTTCTATATTTGAGCTGCTCTTCTAAGAGACGTTGCTGTAATGGGTCCAACATATATGCACCATCTGATGCCACAGAAATCTGCCTAATTGCAGTATCTGCATGACTCTCTTGATCCACTTCAGTCTGCCCTTCATCATTAACATCCATGACGACTTCATCATTTTGACTAACCTGACTGTTGTTCTTGCTGTCATTAGCATTTAAGTCCAGAACACTAGCTATGTCATCTAAAGAACTCTTCATTTTTATTTTCCTAGCTTTGTTTTTCATGCCTCTGCTTGGACGACCCCTTTTTCGCTTCTTTTGGTAAATAATACTTTTTCCTGTACTTACATTTTTATCATAATCGACATCTACAGGTTCCTCTGCAGCATCTGTCTGCAAATACATATCTACATCACTAACAAACCCCATCTCTGCAGCTTTGAGTGAACATCGGGGCTGCCGACCTCTAAGTGATATATAAGGCTTCAAGAGATCACACATGACAGATTTATCTAAAGAAACAACCTCTGACTGATCTGATTTGAATTCAAGCAAAGTCTTTGACTTCAGTTTCAAGAGATTTTTAACAAGGTTGTGTAAAGTTATTAGAGATTTCAATGTTCCATTAAAAGTACAGTCCTTGTCTGAAGTAAAATCAATGTCAAAACAAGAAGCATAATTCTGTGCCTTGTCTAGCAGGAACTGCTGACACCCAGGTATGTGTGCCAGGATAGCTGAGTTCAATGTGGCTGTGATACTGGTGAAAATCTGTAAGCATAAAACAGAAAAATAGTTAGAAGTGACAGCAAGTGTAAGCTCACATAATGAAAAGCTGCCAAGAGTGAATATACAATACAACTAATATCAATACAAAGTTCTTTTTTCGTTCACCCGAAAAAGATTATCTTTATCTGTGATGTTGCTCTAGTATGAACTTTACTGTCCTTTGTAATTCACTCAGCGACCCATAAAGTCTGGCTTCAACTGGTATTTCTCTTGGCCAGAAGTTTTGCCTTGATATGCGTTTGTGTGTGGCATCCTGATTGTTGTGGTGCGCTCCTGGCTGGTGGCCTCCGACTTCAGCATCTTATTTTTGTGAACTAGATCAGCGAACAAGCATATAAGACCGAACCATCCATCTCGACATGTGTGTACGCCTGTATGCTAGACTTCAGAATCATACGCATCATTGGCATCATATGAACACATATCATCATCATGCAGCAGGGCCTTTGCAGAACGTCGCCCTCATCACGATCTGCCTGAAAGAAACTCGGTCTCTCGTCAACTCTCCAACCTCATATACTTTCATACTCAAAGAGTCACTTATATTCTGTGCCCATCTTCGTGTTGGTCGGCCCTGCCCCTCCTTCCTGGAACCATGCCTTCTGCTATAATTTTTTCCAATCCATCGTGGCTCTTGATATGACCAAACTATTTCAGCTTCAGAGACACGATGCTGTTTATTAGCCAATCTTCCTTGATGTTCAAATCTTTCAAAATGTCAGTATTTCTCATCTTCTTTGTCCAAGATATTCTGAGAATCTTTTTATAGCATTTCAGCTCAAAAGCCCCTATTCTCTTTCTTAAGGACTGAGAGATAGTCCAGGACTCACATCCGTATGTTGCTACAGGAAAGATGCATGCTCTCCAAATTCTAATTTTGATCTCCTTGCTGGTGCTTGAACATAGACTTTTTAGGCTGTTTAATCTTTGCATTGCTATGGCCATCCTCCTTTTAATTTCTGTCAAACAGTCTCCATTGCAGTCTCCAATGCACATTGGGGCCATGAAAATCAAAACACTAGTACCTTTAAAGACTGCATTCAAACAAAAACATACTACAACCAGAAGAAACACCTAACAATTTACCAGTAATTTTTTTTTTGGTCACTGAACAACAGATGTTAGGAAACATTATTACTGACTCTTCTTCTTAGCATTTACTAGCTGTAAACTCCGGCAGAAAGTTATGGTTTTTCAACTACTTCTGGATTTTGGTCTTGTTCAAAAACTTGAGTTTTTCATACATATTTCATATTTCAGTCATTTAGTCGCCTTTTATAATAAGCTTACCAGGGGTAGCGGATCTTTTTTTTTTTTTTACCCAGTGGAAGGCTTATCCGGATAACAAATGCCAGAAATTTAGATGTGTCTGCCGAAAGGCGCAAATATCTCAGTTATGCTATGAACAGGCACAACACATGTATATAACTCAGATGAACGATGAAGAAGACAGAAAGTAAGACCTCTTCTGACTTACCGGAGTGTCATCATCAACATCTGCCTCTGGTGTCTGTAAAATCTCTCTATCCAAAGACAAATCAACATGTTCATCTATTGTTTTCCTAATCTCACTCTCTTCAATTTCATCCTGAAAATGAATCTTCTCAGACTGTTTCTTCTGAACCTGTTTTAAATGGTGTTCTAAATGACACTGTTCCAAAACGTGAAGCTCTTGTTTCAGTCTATCTTTCTTAACCTGGTCAAGTTCACTTTGATCACTAGTCTGACTCCAAGTGTTGCTTTTTAAAACTGTCTGGTTGTCAGATGGAGAAACTGAAACACCTAATTTCTCCTGTCCTAAATGGAGGACACTTTGTCTGGTACAAGCAATTAATGGTAAATGTTCCTTCTCATTAGATACAGGCTCAGTAGCTTGAGAACTGAATATAGCTGCCTGAAATGTTTGTGCATGATTTAAAGAAGTGTTGGATGGCTTTTCTGCTACTACTACATTCAGGCCAGAAATGTCAATGAAGGAGTCGTCACCCTGTTCATACAACAGAGCTGTTGATTCTGTTGTATCATTAACTGGTTGCACTGTATGGAAAGTAAGCTGATCAGTGGCCAAGTATGTGTGATCAGCATAGGCAATGAAAGAGTTTGGTTCCACCACAAGTCCTTTAGAGTTTAAGTGAGAAGCAGAAGTAGCATTATCAAGCACCATGGCGATAGATGAAGTCTGTGGAAAATCTGATACATGTCGAAGTTTGCCTCTATCATGGTTTCCTCCAGTGCTAAAAGATATGTGGCTTTGTGGGGAAATGCTGGACACTGAAATATCATTTCCAGGACTTAACACAAGATTTCCTTGCATGGTAGTGGAAAGTACCTGAGAACCATCTATGTTCTCAACCACAACAAGGTAGTTTGAACTTAGTGTGGCATCTGAGGTTATGGTGCCTGTGTTTGGATCTAAAATTATCGGCATGTTTTCAGAATTATCTGATGAAAGTCCTGGATGATCAAATACCAGGGTTCCATCATGGCTAAAGTACATTACTCCACTATCTTTGGCATCCAAAATAGTATTTATACCCTGAACGTTAATTTCATTTCCCTGTAATCCTGGCTCAGTCATTTCTGCAATTGTCCTAACTGATGAATTTTCTATTGTATTTTCTGGTACATATTCAATCTGTGCCAAATTCAAGGATAAAGATGTTGAACCTGAATTAGCCAAATGGGATATTTCACCACTAGAATTATTATTATACAGGTCTGAATTGGTAGATAACATGTCTGTGTTGGCTTTACCCTGAACAACATTAATGTGTTCACCAACTGTCTCTGCAATATCGTCTTCAACATTTTCATTCGTCAGTATACTGTCTCCTTTTTGTGGCATACTGAGAGATTTATCTTAGATCTGTTGGTTTCTGTAGTATGGAACTTCCCTTCTGTAAGATCTATGTGCTTTTCCGTAGCATACAGAGATAATTACTTCCTTGTTTGTAAAATCAATGTTGTCATCTGTGGCATTCAAAGATATTTACTTTCTTTCTGTAAATTCTATATAGCCTTTGGTTACATGGATAGATTGTTAATTTCTTCATGTAAGATGTTTTGATTTCTGTTGTCGACTGGGAGATTCACTTCCCAATGTAAGATCTATGTGCTCTTCGGTAACGTACAGATACAGTTGCTTCCTTTCAGTAAAATCAATGTTGTTTTCTGTGGTGTGCAGAGATATTTACTTCCTATCTGTAAAATCTGTGTTCTTTACTGCGGCATACTGAGAGATTTATTTCCCTTCTATAAGGTCTGTGTTGTTTTCTGAAAATCAAACAAAATAACATAAATCAAGATTAATATTTCCAAAATATTGCAGTCATTAAACATTTTTGCAATTAAACCTAAGATAATCAATCTACAAGAAATACTTTCAGCACACACACAGGAAGGTTAATTTTGGCCACAAATGCCTGAAGACAGTTGCACCTTTCGGCCTACACGTGTAGGCCGAAAGGTGCAAATTATCACAGCCATGTTGTAAACGGGCACAGGGCAATGACATTTTTGGACTAACGTAGAAGAAGAAATAAGGCAAGCAACACAGGCACAGGAAACTGGGTGCTCAAGTCTTCTGCCTCCTCCCTCCCGCCAATAATTTTTGTAAGGGTACTAAGAGATCCCCTTTAACCTTGCAAAGAAATGTTCTTTAAAAGTGTTTGTTTATACATTTTTTATTATATTTATAATCCTATTTATTTGCCATTATGCACATATTAATAATGACAATAATAATAAGAATGTATATTGTTGGAGAAAATGAACTAAAGACTGTTAAAACACTGACTCTCTTAATAGAATCAGCTCAGAAAATGGGACTAATTATCAACCAAGATAAGAAAGAATACATGATAATAACTAGACAGGAAAAGGATATAAACTCCGGCCACATAAAAGTCAATAATATGAAAATCAAATGAACGGGAACATATAAGTACTTGGGTGCAAACTTCAACTGCTCCAACATCCTGAGAGAAGAAATACAATCTAGAATACAATCTGGAAATAAAGTATACTATGCCCTTTAACATCTACTAAAGTCAAAGTGTCTGTCTCGCAACACCAAGAACAAAATATATAAAACGTTGATAAGACCAGTCATTTTATATGGCTCTGAAGCTTGGAGCACTACTAAAAGAGATGACGCCTTATTACAGGTTTTCTAAAACAAGAGTCTTACAATGAATCTTCGGACCCATCAAAGATACAAACAGCGGGGAATGGAGAGTGAGAGGCAACAACAAAATTTATAATCTGTTTAAATCACCATTGACCACTGGCATCATGAGAGCTAATAGACTGTAATGGTTGGGGCATGCTGATAGAATGTCAGATGACAGAGAAGTGAAAACTGTATACACAAGGGAGAAGAATGGTCGTAGTCTATGAGGCATGAGGCAGACCAAGAAGATTATGCAGAGATGATGTCCAGACTGACCTGCAAAAGTTGGTGTCACCAAATGGAAAGAGAAGGCCAACAAGAGAGATGAAGGGAGGCGGATTATATCTGCAGCAATGAACCTTAAGGGTTCAGAGTGCTGAAGAAGAAGAAGAATGTGTTGAATGGCAAATAAATATAATTCTTCTTCTTCTTCTGCCTTCACTAACGCCAAGTAATTATATCCTTGGCTATTGTATGCAGATTTCCCCATGTCCTCTCCATTCTTTTATTTTTACCTAATTTTCTAGCTCCCTTCTCCATGTTTGGTTTTTCTTGTCTTCCTTTATTTCTATGACCCTGTGGGTTCCAGTACAAAGATATTCTAGTTATATTGTTCTCATGTTTTCTCAATGCGTGTCCTATCCAATGCTAAGCTCTACATTAGTGATTGTATCGTACCATTTAATTCAATCTATTCTGCGCAGGCACCATTTAACAAATGTTTGTAGTTTATTATTAATTACCTTAGTTGTTCTCTGTGTTTTGCTGACAGGTTGGCTGGATCCGCTATCACTACCGACGGTCAGCCTATGGATCATGCTGATATTATTAATGCCCTCAGAGAAATGGGAAGGATAGAGGACTTTGGTGGCAGTGAATCCACACCACTCGCCAGAATGGCAGACTTGGGAATTAAGATCAGCACAGCAAAAAACGAGACGCACACCAGACACGCCAGAAGACTTGTTAATCAACATAGAACTGGTACTATTAGCCATCAGACGTTGGGGTTCATACTGAGGGGAGGATCTGAGCACCTATGGACATGTCCGGAGTGCAATGAGGATAACCCAACTAACTAACTAATCTCTGTGTTTCCGCTCCACACAACAGTACTGATTTGATATTGGAAATTTAACTAAAATTTAATTTAGTATTAACCCCCCCCCCCCCCCCCCCCCCCCACCTCCAACTAATTATTTGCCTAGGAAATGTGTAAGGTAGCAAGGAGGAAGGGTATAGTTAGAGGGAGCTGAGTCCCTCACTGTTTAAAAATAATAATTTTTGCTTAGGTAGTGAGGAAGGCAGGAGCTCAACCACCACACCCCCCCCCCCCAACCATTTGTCCCTAATTTAGGGAGGAGTGTTGAGCTCCCCCACCTATTTGTAATGTGGAGAGGGGAGGGGGGGGGGGCTGAGCTCGCCATCCCCCCACCCCCTCCTTATTATCACATTTGTTTCTGCTGTCAATATCACTTACAATTATTACACCCTGACCATGTTCAAGACTCCCTGCCTCCCTCCTTTTCAATTTAGTCTCAGTCTTATCACAGAGAGAGAGTGGGAGAGAGGGACTAAGAAAGGGAGCTAAATTAGAGGGATGGAGGAGAGACAGCAAATATCCAGCTAAACACACTTATAGGTTATTTATTTGATAGTTGATAATTTAGAAACTGGAGAGTGTGTACACACGCTAATGATGTGCGAGCTGAAATGAGCCATATATTTTGGCTGTCCTCCGAATAACGGGCACGAAAGATGGCGGCCACAAAATATCCTGACGAGCCTCAGTCAGGTGTCAATTGCGCACTTGCGGTCAGGAGCACATCGCGGGAAAACTGGGATTAGTGTCTGTTGACAATTTCGAGAAACTTTACAAATCGCCGAGTTCAACTCGCCGCCGAGAGTCTCCCCTGCGCCGCGGATGGGGCTAAACTAGATGGCTGGGACCCACAAGCAGCAGCTTCCGCATCTCCTGCAGCTTTGCTCATGAGTCCTAGCCATCTAGTTTAGCCCCAATCCCCGCCGCTACTCTCGGCGGTGGCGGTTGTCGCCGGAAAACCGCAAATTAAGTCGCCGGAAGTGTACAGTTGACACGTGACTGAGGCCCTGTTTTTGGCCACCATCTTTTGTGCCCGTTATTCGGAGGATAGCCGGTCTGTGGATGCTACTAAAAATAAAGCTGCATTACCAATGTGCTACAAGCCGCACCTTGTTCCGATCGTACTTAGCCGAGTTTCAATGGCGTAACAGCCACAAACAGCAGATTTTCAGGCACTATTTACAACTTATGTGCCATAATTTCCAGATATAAAGGCATAAAATTATCGGTAAGTAGTCGATTTGATATATTACAACACATGACACGTGACTGAGGCTCGTCAGGATATTTTGCGGCCGCCATCTTTCGTGCCCGTTATTTGGAGGATAGCCTATATTCTGTATCAATGCCTGCCCGTCAGTTGGCTGGTCAATAAGTTCTTAGTGCAATTAATGTTTTGTGTTCAATCAATAACTTGTAAAAAGTTTATTAAATCTAATGATTAAAAAACACAAACAGTAACTGTAACAGTAACAAACACCAAAGCACTATATTAATCATTAATAATAATACTTCTGAAACTTTCAACAGTGAAAAATTTAGTAAACAAAACATGAAGAAGTCATAAAGAAATAAAGTCAAAAGTATTCAAAAAAGTACATAACTATTATTAGTATTATTCGTTTGCTAGCTTTTAAAACATACATTTGCTATTTTACGCAAATTGTTTTTCCTAACATTATGTTTAACTTTGTAAATGGTGCATACTTAATAAATGAATGCTACAAAATATAGCAATAAATCTGAATAACCAACAACCATTCTCGAATTCTTTAATCAACAAGAAAGAAAAAGGTTAACTTCCGGGTCATTGCAATGCAAGACACATTTGGAGGGGGAAAAAAAGATACACATATTTATGGTCCATACTATTGAGTTAGAAATAAGTATATACTGTAAACACCAACAATAAATCAAGCAGAAGTAGGACTAGGAAAATAAGTAATTAGAGTTAATGATCAATTTACTTTTAAGGTAGTAATTTTGATAGTGAAGGAAACACAAATAAAGAAATTATGATACACATTGGCGAGGTACCAGAAGATTAAAATAGCCTAAACGAAATATGGAACACTAAATTGCAGTTTTAAAACCATGTTAGGCATTTTTAATTCTAATGATTTTTTTTCAGATTTAGTTTATTCAAAAGACGTGAAGACACAAGAGAAAAGTCTACTGAGTCTACTGACAAGACATCCACCCAAGTAGTTTATTATGTGGTTTAAAAAAAGGGCGTGGGGGGGGGGGGGGTTACACATAGGTTGTGTGCCTGTGTTTGACAAGCACACAGCCTTCGCACACAGGCTGTCGGGGGTCGTGAGTCCCCTGCTGCACCATCTGCGATGTCAGACTTCTCGTCTTCTGTCTATTTTGTCTCCCAGTCGATTTTTATTGTTGTCTTTTATTGTTGTCCCCAATCGTTGCCCACTTAAAAAAAAAGATCTTTCAAGTTTGCTTCACCCGGCGGATTATGTCAACGGTAGGCTAGGGTCTGAATCAGTGTCAACATTTGTGAGATTTTGTCTTCCTTCTGGTCTTTCTTCTTTCCTTTGTTCTTGTCTTTATTTTTCTT